AACAATCAGTCACGCTTGACCCTGTGCTTACTCACGATTTTGGGGCTCCCATGAGTTGTGTGTACTTGCTTTGGGACAGGCAAATTATGCTAGTGTGTAGACTGTGCTTGCTTTCCTTAAGTACGGGGGAATCATAACTCTCTCTGTGAACAACGTTGCCTCTGTTAAGTGTTGCATTTTGCTTTTACAGATGCAACCTTGAGATCTCAGCCATCCGTGTTATTACCGTCTGAAAGACACCAAAGAATCAGAAAGAGGCCACGTAGAAGCAAGGAAGACATGTTGCATGAAGTAATGCAGCATTCAAGTAATGAAAATCAAAAAGTTCAGGAGTGGCGGGAGAGTGAAAGGAGGGTCCGCCAGCAGAATGTGGATCGCCGGCACCAAAGCAATGTGTGGCTGCTAAGCATCATGAAGAGCCAAGCGGACTTGATACAGATGCTCGTAGCCATGCAGGCGGAGCACTACCATGCCCCCTGCAGCCGTTGTGCCCCCATGTCACCTCCAACACACTTTCCCCCCACCATTAGGGTTCTTACCACCACCAGCTGCCTCCAACACCTGTAGCTTCACCACCCAGCCCTGAAAACTACGACCCTTACTCACTGCCCTCAATCCCCATCACCATGCAGTACAGCCATCCTGAAGTGCAGCACTCATTGCGCAGCACTCCAGACAGGACATGCGCAGATCTGTGATTATACTGTTCCCCACCCCCTTGCCCTTTCTGTTTCCCAAGCAGTTGTCTCTCTTTTCAATAAATGAATTTTCTTTTCAATAAATGGATTTTTTGGCTTTGAAAACATTCTTTATTATTGCATAAAATAAAAGATACCTTAGCCCAGGAAGGAAACAGGCACTGCAAGTCATTGTAACAAACACAGATTCCTACTAACATTGGAACCACGGCATTTCACTCCCGTGCAGGGCACCACACGTTATTGGTGGCTTTCAGCCTCAAATTGCTCCCTCAAGACATCCCTAATCCTTGCAGCCCCACGCTGGGCCCCTCTAATAGCCCTGTTCTCTGGCTGTTCAAATTCAGCCTCCAGGTGTTGAACCTCCGAGTTCCATGCCTGAGTGAATCTTTCACCCTTCCCTTCACAAATGTTATGGAGGGTACAGCATGCAGATATAACAGTGGGGATGCTGTCATCAGCCAGGTCCAGCTTCCCATACAGAGAGCATCAGCGGCCCTTTAAACGGCCAAAAGCACACTCCACAGTCACTCTGCACCGGCTCAGCCTGTTGTTGAACCGCTCCTTGCTGCTGTCAAGGCTCCCTGTGTAGGGTTTCATGAGCCACAGCATTCAAGGGTAAGCGGAGTCTCTAAGGATCACAATGGGCATATTGACTTCCCCTACGGTAATCTTCTGGTCTGGGAAAAAAGTTCCAGCTTGCAGCTTCCTGAACAGGCCGGTGTTCCGAAAGATGCGTAAGTCATGCACCTTTCCGGGCCAGCCTGCATTAATGTCAATTAATTAATGTCAATTAATTAATGTCAATTAATTAATTAATGTCAATGAAACGCCCATCCACAAGCGTCTGGAGAACCATAGAGAAATAGCCCTTCCGATTAACATACTTGGAGGCTAGGTGGGCTGGTGCCAGAATTGGAATATGCGTGCCATCTATCGCCCCTCCGCAGTTAGGGAAACCCATTTGTGCAAAGCCAGCCACAATGTCATGCATGTTACCCAGAGTCATGGTTCTTCTGAGCAGGATGCGATTAATGGCTCTGCAAACTTGCATCAACACGATTCCAGCGGTCGACTTCCCCACTCCAAACTGGTTAGCAGCCCATTGGTAGCTGTCTGGAATTGCCAGCTTCCGGATTTCAATAGTCACCCACTTCTCCACCATCAGGGCAGCTCTCAATCTCGTGTCCTTGCGCCGCAGGGTGGGGGCAAGCTCCTCACACAGTCCCATGAAAGTGGCTTTTCTCATCTGAAAGTTCTGTAGCCACTGTTCATCATCCCAGACTTGCATGACGATGTGATTCCACCACTCAGTGCTTGTTTCCCGAGCTCAAAAGCGGCGTTCCATGGTGGTGAGCATGTCCGTGAATGCAAACTCGTGTCATAATCATTACTCGAGTCGATATCATTGTCGGTGCCCTCACTGTCACTTTGGATCATAAGGAATAACTCAACTGCCAAACGTGATGTGCTCTTGAGACTTGTCAGCATATTCCTCAGCAGTTCAGGCTCCATTCCCATAGACCGAAAGGGAAGACAGAGAGCTCAGTACAAAAACCATTGAAAGATAGCGCCAAATGTGGAAGGAAGCAAAGGGAATGCTGGGATGTGAATTGATACATCACGGGGCATTGGGACAAGACCCAGAATGCTCCGCACTTCCCACCCCCTTCCCATAAGTCACAGTGCCAGAATGGGAAGAGTTGCTCTCTGGGATAGCTGGCCACAATGCACCGCTCCCAATGCCGCTGCAAGTGCCACAAATGTGGCCATGCCAGTGCGCTGTCAGTGTGGACAGACTGCAGCGCTTTCCCTACTGCGCTGTACAAAGACAGGTTTAACTCACAGCACTCTACATCTGCAAATGTAGCCATACCCTGCGGGTAGTGAAAGGATTTTGAGGAACTTGGAAACCATTTACGAGAGGAGATGTGGAGCTTGCAGAATCCTCAGGGGCTATTTTCTGATAGGACAAACCAGTCTAGCAAAGTTGCCTGAAGTATTGCTTAGGGTATCCAGATAATCTGTTAGACACACTGAGAGAGAGAGGATTTCATTGTGAAATTAGAATGGGACTATTCATGCTACTGTGTACAGTTTAGTTCTGTAAAGATTAGTGGTTATTTTTTCAGTTACTTGTTATAAAACAGTTCTTTCTATAATAAATGTACCATACCACACTTGCTTTTAGTTACATGGACCTTGAGTTTTACCCAATTTAATTTAATAGCCCTTGATCACTAATAAAATGCTACTCTATTACATCTAATATGGAGAGCTCAAAAAGATAAGTAACAGGTGTAAATTTGACCAGATTATAAGCCTCTCTGAAAATCTATTCTTAATGGAGGCTTGTTAGAATTTGGCAGCTAAAATCTCCAGAGACTGTCTGCACTGAGCATCCTTCATTCCATGGCTGCTGGGGTCGCTCAGGCCTTTTTTCCCCCTCGCTTTTCCCACCAGTAAGGGAACTAGGCATCAGAACCGAGAACCGGAGGCTCTTGTGTGCTCTGTGTTCTCCCTGGTGGAGTACAGGTATCCTGACTGGAAAGCATAGGGGAGACGAGGACATATGAAGAGAGGGAGTGGGCATAGGATCAGAGGGGGGCACAGAGATGAGTGGGGGCACATGGGCAGACAGGTCTGTAAACAGTAGAACATATTCCCTCCAGAACATGGAATTGACCCAAGGATTCCTTAGTCTCAAAATACCTCTGCTGTCTAGCAAATAGCTGCGAATCACACTAAAAAAATGTGTTTCTTTCACATCTAATGGCTGGTCTATGGAATATGACAGCCTGCTACTGCTACCAGTTACTGAATTCAAGTGGAAGAGGTCGGTGCTTTGAATTTAAAGTCTATTTTAAAGTAGACAAGAACATGTGAGGAACAGTGGGGCGGCGGGGAATAAACGTGGGGAAATAGTTTTACTTTGTGTAATGACACATCCACTCCCAGTCTTTATTCAAGCCTAAGTTAATTGTATCCAGTTTGCAAATTAATTCCAATTCAGCAGCCTCTCCTTGGAGTCTGTTTTTGAAGTTTTTTTTGTTCTTGTCAACTGCTGGAAATGGCCCACCTTGATTATCACTACAAAAAGTTGGTTTCGCCGCCCTCCCCGCCCCCCTCCTACTGGTAATAGCTCACCTTAAGTGATCACACTCGTTACAGTGTGTATGGTAACACCCATTGTTTCATGTTCTCTGTGTATATAAATCTCCCCACTGTATTTTCTACTGTATGCATCTGATGAAGTGAGCTGTAGCTTACGAAAGCTTATGCTCAAATAAATTTGTTAGTCTCTAAGGTGCCACAAGTACTTTTTTTCTTTCTTTGGTAAGGTTGGCAATTAACCTATACATTATCTGGTGTGTGAGTTGACAGTCAGTTTTGCAATCTGTGTTGCCAGTTGGTAAACTGATGTAGTGAAGAGATTTGATTGTCTTCAGTGAAATATTTAGATACTCTGTGTATGTAACCGCTTTCTTAATCCCTCCCTTGCTGTATCTTTTTTTTTTTGGTTTGTACAAACTATGGGTTCTGGGTATCTTTTAAAAATATTTTGAAACCAAACCTTATTTCCATCTTGGAGGTGGGGGTGGCGTGGGGGGCGTTCTCTGTAGTGATAACATCTTGGCTTCATATTGACTGAGTCTATATTTTCAGTCTTATAAAAAAATTATAATCATGTACTTTAAGAATAATCATTTGTTGCATTTCTGCAACAAAATGTTGTTTGAAAGAGTGACACAACTCTAAGCTTTCACTTAGTTTTTATTTTATTTTTAAAAAAATAGTTAAATGAGTAGAATGAAACTTGTATAGAGAATGTAGAGTTTCTGCAAACCATACTTCCATAATGTGTAATGAATTTATTAGAAAGAGTTTCTAAGGTCATTTTCTTAATGCTTAGATCAATCATTTTGTGTAATGTAGAGTGAGTGTACATTCCTGTTTTAAAATTAAGGTAATTACATAAGTCTGGTCCAAACAACTTATACTGGCTTAACTACAGTTGGTTTAAAAATTGTGCAAGCCCCTGTATAGACACACATCACAATTGGCTTGCATAGCTCACTTTTATTACTTTACAATTAGCCTATATAAGGGATCTGCACAGGCTCAACTAAGTTGTTTTTTAAACACATTTTAGTTAAACCAGTGTAACATTTTTGTGTAATTCAGGGCCTTGCTTTGTTTTGGGGGGTTGTGTGTTTCTGTGATTCTCTGAAAAGTATGGATGAAATTGTTCTGTTGAGTGTATCTTAAGGAATTTACCAAATATATTTTTTTGTTTTACAGGCTATTCAGCAATAGTTATGAACTCCCGGTTACGAGCGTTAGGTGGGAGGATAAATAACATACGAGCATCAGAACTACCAAAAGAGAAAACCCGATCAGAGATCATCTGTAGTGTCCACTTTTTGGATGGCTCAGTACAAAGCTTCAAAGTCAATGTAAGTTCTGAAGACTTTTTTTTCACATTGGCTTAAAACTTGAGGTTAAAATCTGAGGATCAAATCTGTGAGTTATTAGGCAAATGGTTTATATCTGGGATTGAAGATGTACTTTTCTATCATGGGATATTTCATAGTCATTGGTTATGAAGTGAATATGCAAATCTGATATTTCAGCTGTCTTTCTAATATCTGTTGATATCGGTTAGTAGTAAACTTATTTCGCGCAGAATGTATCCGGGAGATGGATCACTTGGGTGATGTGGGAACTGGATAAAGCTAAGTTTTTATTGGATGTTACCCGTTGTGAATGATCATTTGTAGATAAATGAGTGAGGCTTCTGAATTTGATTGGGGGAGCCCATTTTTATCTATCTTGTGGTAACACTGAAGAGGGGTGTTTTAGGGAATGTGCCTGATAAGCAGGTGCAGCCATGTCAGTGCTTGCTTTCTTAGAGGAGTTGGAATGACCACTTCTCTTCCTTTTTTTCTTCAATGCTCTTTCATCTTTCGAGATGCTTGGCAACTTCCCTTTTCTCCCTTCTTATACAAGTGTCAGGTAGATGATGGGTGGGAGAATAGGAGCATGATTTAAGAGGACAATTCACATTGTCAGGCTCCTGCACATCTGTGGGTTGATTTTGGGTAAATAGAGAGAATTTGAAACTCAACCATATTGCATTTGGAAGAAGTTTGCTATTATGAATCCTTCTGGTTTGTATTACAGCTTGATTTGAAGAGTAGATTTGGCCTGGTTAAAGTAGGGATATGCTCCCAGAGAAGATAACACAAAACCTTCATGAAAGGTGAATGTACCAATTCCAATAGCCAATTTGATTTGCAGGGAATCAGGTTTTCCCTTTTGATGGAAATTAACCAATTAGCCATTTAAAAAAAAATAAAAGCATTATTAAAAAACTGCTCTGAAGAGTAACAAGCTACTGGTATAAAACCCTCATTATTAAAACTGACTTGACTTTTTCTAGTGGAAATTGCCAAAGTATTGTAATAAAACAAATCAATTAAATAGCCTGATCAGCTGTGTCCTATTAAAATTTTTTAAAACTTCTTGTCAGAGGTAATAAACATTAAATGTCCTATTACTGTGGCTGAAACTATTGATCTTCTTTACCAAGGTCCTACCTAAATACCCAAAGAACAGGACTCGGTGGTGATGTGGGACTTCAACTACCCAGACATCTGTTGGAAAAATAATACAGTAGGGCACAGATTATCTAACAAATTCTTGGAATGTATTGGAGATAACTTTTTACTGCAGATGGTGGAGAGAGCCATGAGGGAGGGAAGAGACTCTTCTAGAGTTGATTCTGACTAATAGGGAGGATCTGATTGAGAATTTGAAGGTGGAAGGCAGCTTGGGTGAAACTGATCCTGAAATAATAGCATTTATAGTTTTAAGGAATGGCAGGAGGGAAAACAGCAGAATAAAGACAAGGGACTTTATGAAGGCAGACTTTAACAAACTCCAGAGAATTGGTAGGTAATATTCCATGGGAAGCAATAAGGAACAAATGAAAGTACTACACTTAGGAAGAAATAATCACATAAATACAAAATGGGAATCTACTGCGTAGATAAGGGTACTGCAGGAAAGGATCTGAAGGTTACAAAACTACATATTTAATTACAAACTAAATATGGTACAACAAGGTAATACTGTTGCAAAAAAAGCAAATGTCATTCTGGGATGTATTAGCAAGAGTATTGTTAGCAAGAGAAGAGAAGTAATTCTTCATCTCTACTCAGCACCAATAAGGTCTGAACTGGAGTACTGTGTCCAATTCTGGGCATCACACTTTGGGAAAAAATGTGGACAAATTGGAGAAAGTCCAGAGGAGGGCAACAAAAGTGATTGAAGGTCTAGAAAACATGACTTAGAAGGAAAGATTGAAAAAATTGGTTTTGTTTAGTCTGGAGAAGAGAAGACTTGAGGGGAGACATAAGTCTTCAAGTACATAAGAGGTTGCAATAAAGAGGAGGGTGATAAATTGTTCTTCTTATCCACAGAGGATAGGACAAGAAGTAGTGGGCTGAAATTGCAACAAAGGAGATTTAGGCTAGACATTAGGAAAAACTTTCTGACTGTAAGAGGAGTTAAGCAGTGGACCAAATTACCTAGGGAGGTTGAAAAATCTCTGTTATTGGAGGCTTTTAAGAACAGGTTAGACAACACCTGTCAGGTATGGTCTAGAATAGATAATACTTAGTCCTCCCTCAGTGCATGGCACTGGACTAGATGGCCTGACAAGGTTCCTTCCAGTCCTACATTTCTATGATTCATGTATTAGCCAAATACTGTACCTTGAAGTAATATTAAACCAGACCCTCTTCCCCATTCCTGCCTCTGAGTAAAATGAAGAGGGACCGTATCTTGGAATGTTACAATTTTTCCTTTTTTGTCCATTAGTCTAATTACAGCAATATTTTGTATGTTGGATCTGCAAGTCTCAAGTTTTCGAAGCAAATACTCTGAGACAAATTGCACTGCACAAGATGCCTCTCAGATCAGAGCTGTTTACTATGCACAAATTAGCATTTCAAATAGCATAAACCCTTTCTAGAATTTAGTACCAAAGCAAAACTTAATGGAGGCATCTTACTTACTACAATATATTGAGTTTAAAGCACCTTTTGGTCCTAAATGGCAGTGTCATGCAATTGGTCTAGTTGAACTCAGACAAATAATCTAACATGGTTGTGATTTTATTGAATTATTTTATGCAAATCTAGACAAGTCTGTATCCCAGTTATAGGGCTAACTAAGTCTCTGTCTACTTTCTGGTCTCTGAGTGCATGCACCTCACATCTTGGGCTTTTAGCCCATTTTTGCTTGTTTGGAATTTCACAATTCTGCCACTCTCAGACCAGCAGCACCTGCATACGCTATCCCATGTATACCAACCTCTTGTCACGCTGCAGGTTCAGTTGGTTTCAGGCAACTGCCTTTCCTCCCTTTGGGAGTCTTTGACCCATGATATAGACTAACAACCTACTTAAAGAATTTTTATTAAGCAGTTGGAATAAAGCATTAAAGAGAAAAGGATTTTAAAACTTTCTGTATGCATTTCTCTCTTACCTGATGTTCTTCTGTTCCATAATGGCATCCTAGACAGGCTTACTTTCTTCAGATACTATGGTGGGTTCCTAATCGCTGAGCGTGTTTCAGCTGGTGTTCTATCTGCCTCACTGAAATTTCCCTTTTAAACCCTGCAAGGTTGTTTTCCAAAAGACTTCTTCACATGTCCCTGGGCTTTGGTCCCCCTAGTCAAACCAGTTTTATAGGCTGTCTGAGGAGAGGAATGGGATTGAGCCATTGTCCCTAAGTGACCCTTAAGCAAAAGTGATTAGGTGACCATTGAGAGTCATCTCCTTTGTGCTTGGAATACTCAGATAATCCTCTAATGGGAGGCACTTAATTAAAAATATTGTTATGAGCTGGTTGGAACCTTGGTTTAGATTGTTAAAACCTTCACCTAAGACAAAAAGAGTATGTGAACCTGCCCAGGAGCTTTTTGGCTGAGTATTGTTTTGAATAGGTGTGGGAATATGGGGGAAGGCAGAACAGAAAAACGGAGAGAACAGAGGTTGGGGGGAGAGAGAGCTAGTCTAAAGGAGCAGCAGAAATCATTTTGTGGTCCTGAAAGAAACCTGGGAAGATGTTTTTGGGTCAGAAGTACACGCAAAAAAGAGGGCTCTTGGTGGCGTGAGGAAAAGAAGCCGTTTCCTGTTGTGTCTCTAAACACAGAGGAAATCACACAAGACTTTATGTATTCTTTGTAAATAGAAAAAAAACTGCATCAAGAAAATACCTGACTAGTTCCAGTTTCTGCTCCCAACTGAAACATATATAGGGCTCCAAACTTTGACTAGTGGCTTGGGTTGAAATGGGGCGACGATATTGATACTGAAAACTACAGGCCGTGTCTTCACTGCTAAGAAAAGATGGGTGTGGGGCATGAGTGTGGATGGTTGGTTGTTTACCTATTGCATTGTAAAATCCCTGTAGAGGCAAGGCTGTGTAGTTCTTATAGCAGTTTATCTAGGTGAGGTCAAGCACAGATAGAGGAGATATTATGTTGATCTCACCTATCTGTATTTCAGTAAAAAACAAAAAAAACCAACCCTCAGAGCCTTGTCTCAGCTAGGATTTTTACAGTGAGATAACAAATGCACATTAGTTACTTTAGAATAAAAATACACCTTTTTTGGCAGTGAAGATGTAGCCATTACTAAAGAGCAACAATTCCTAAAGAGCATGCCCATATGTCTCTCACTATGATTAAACAGTTTTTAGTGTTTGTCTTTACTTTGAGATAATCATACAACACTAGCATAATTAAATTTATTTGCATATTATGTGTTTCTGTATATACTGTAAAATGTGATTATTTCAGACTGTTGGATATACAGGTGTATGAATTAACAAACTGAGTAGACTTTCTTATCCATTTTTACTGCATTTACTATGAAGACCTCAAAGGTAAATATCACTTTTTTGGTAAAACACACCTATTCAGTTGTTTGCTTTGTGCTTTTTAAATTGAGAATTCTGTTTCTTTTTTTCATGACATTGTTGTCTGATAAAAATCATGTGTTCCTCCTTCTCTGAGTGATGGTCCCTACTGTATTCCGCCATGTGCCCAGAGCTGGAGCTTTTCAAAGTAGTATTACTCATCGGTCCACGCATGTGCTCTTGTACTGCCTTTTGGTTTTGCCCAAGGCGATAAAGGGTGGGACAGACCAACCGCATCTCCAGTTCCTTCTCACTGCTGTATGGTCTGAGTTGGAGCTTGTGCTGTCCTCTTATCCTTGGTGACACATTTTCCAAACTTCTTAGAAAAACTGTTTTTACTTTGTTCATATTTAGTATTCTGTTGTTTTTTGCAATTATTTTCTAGTTCCTAGAAGTTTTATAGGATTAAAAACTTGGACGCCACTTTGGTGGTTTTCCAACCAAACAATCCCTCTCACCCTTTCTA